CATGGTGTCCTGCCTCACCTAGGACCCAAACAATAGTACCAGCTAACCATCATCTAAAACCTCTGAAACCATGACCCCAAAATAAACTTTTCCTCTTCTAAATTTTTCTTGTCAGGTATTTTGGTCACAGCAAAATAAAACAAATTAACACATAAACCCTGTGACCTTATGCTCCTTAATCACTGCTTGATATCACCATTTCCTTCTCCTTTAAATGGCATCTGTGATTATGTCTCCTACAGTGACTAATACCAAAGACCTCAGCTTCATCGTGAATGCTCATTGAAAATGCTAGCTCAAATGCTATTGTCCCTGGTGTCCACACTGAGATGCAGAGGCTGCTTTTTGTCATTTACTGACTCATTTATAATCCTTATTTTAGAAATGACTAGGGTTAATGAATACCTATATCAAGAGCCCTTATGTCTGTACCTGACTCATCATGGCCAAGACTCCCTATGTAAATATAACTGGTTATTTGCCAAGCAATTTGACAGATTTTAGCAAAGTACATATTTTAGTTTTCTCTTGTCCATTTACTAGAGACTTTTCACCTAAGTTTTAGACCTGATACCCTAGAATGTCTGAGTGTTGGGAATAACCATTCCTCTTCTTGGTGTGCTGTGAAGACATTAAGTCAAAGGCTACCAGGATATGGCCTATTGGCTTCTGGCAAGACTTACTCCAGATTATTCCTGGGATTTTGCTCTGAGTATGCACAGTGTGGAAGAAGTCTCCACTCCCCTGCTCCACTTGCAGTATCTCAGAATGCCAGCAGGTAAGACATAAAGGAAAGTGGTGATGTTCTGAAGATTCTGACATGTTGTACATGGATAATCTGAGATTCCTTCTGCACCAAGCCTGTAATAAAACATTTCTCTGTGATAGTGCTTTTGAAGCAAACAAAAAAAGGACTCTAGGGTCCACTAATTTGGGGGTATGAATCTGAAATAATATAACTTTTAAGGTTGCATCTAAGGAAAACCTGCTTCTCCTAGACGTATAGTAAATTGAAGTTCTATGAAGATACAATGGGGAATGAAATCTGATCACAAAATGATAATTTTGACATAAATTAGACATGTTCAGAGAAATTCTCTGAATTAAATATCCAATGTGATATAGGCAAAAATTATAGACATCAACGATACCATAAAACTAGATTAAATTTAAATCTCTAATTCTTTAAGAGATCTATTTGAATAAGGACATTAAATTTTTAAATGCTCTTTTATCTATCTAAAAGAAATCTATGTGTAATTTGCATAATATGCAGACTGGGTACCTAATAAATATATTTTCAATGACTGAATAAATATCTAATATTAGAAGTAATTAGATTTACAAGATTTTTTAAATTGGGAAACATTCATTTGCTACTAGTTTTCTATAATGAAGTATTTATTTGTTAAACCTTCAAACAGGAGAAGTATATTTTTTATACTACCATGTCATTGTTGAAAAACATGAGAACATAATTTTCTTATAATGAACTAGATAATACATGAGGATAAAATAGCATCTATTTGTTCAGTGCAATCTATTTTTTTTCCTGAGAAACAGAAGACTTATTTGACATGTAAAAAGTATTTTTATTAGAAGATTGAAAATCCTGGAAAAGGTGATTAAAATGTAGCTAAGAAAAAATCTGTAATGGAGTTCCTATAAAACAAATTAAATTGGAATTTATTGACATTAAAATAAAGAAATGTTAGCTCAATAATGGAAAGATCTAGCCAGAATTAGAGGGTTGTTCATACAAAGCAAAGAAGTATGCTTCAGTCATCACTGTAACCTACAATGAAAAGTGGAACAACTGGCCCCTATATAATGAAAGACAACTCACTGACAGGGTATAAAGAAAAATGAGGGAGTCTGGCATTTTGTGAATGCAAAAAGTTTGGAAGGTATGAAGAAACTGACAAATTAAAAAGTGTAATTCATAGTATTAATTCCCTTAACAATCATTTTTTGGAAAGCTACCCTGAGTTGACCTCTCTGTGAAGTGACGTATAGTAAGTTGAAGTTCTATGAAGATACAATGGAGAATGAAACCTGATCACAAAATGATGAAGTGCTGGGAATGGAAAGTGAAGAGGTGGTGGTTGACATTCTAGAGATATCGAAGGATATGTCTGAGGAACAACAACAACAAAAAAAATTAAACATGTCATTTGATAAGTGCTTTTGTACAAGCACAAATAAAGTGTTTTAACAACTTTAAGTTTGAGGGGGGGAGGATATTGATTCTTTCCAATAGAGTTACCAAAAATCTCCCTGAGAAACTGTGGTTAAGCAGTCGCAATGCCCAGGAGTTATTGGCTATGGACCAGGTGGAAGAAATGCAGGTGGGTCATGTTTGCTGAAGGATGACAATAGGTAAAATCACTGCCAACAGAGGAAGAGACTGAAACAAATACCAAGCATTTTAAAACCAGATTCTTACCACTGTAAGTTTTTTAGTAGTCACAGTTAGCAATAAGCTGACAAAGGAAATGCTTAAGAGTAACACAATATGGCTTCTCTGTAATTTTTTTTTTATCCATATCACTTTGTCATCACGATGTCCAAGGTTATACAAGGAGATTTTGCATATCTTGGCATTGGTTGTGATACTTCCTCTCCTTCTCTGCTCTGGTTTTCTTACAAAGTTGATTTGTTCATTTTTTCTAATGCTTCACTATTTACCTGTTTCCATTTTTTAAGTTTTGAGAGGGAGAGAGAATATGTGTGTGTTTAGTGGTTATTTTCTGATCAGTGGATTCATAGAGACCAAGTTTGAGAAAAACAAAATTTTAATTTTATGTGTATCACCTGAAGACCCTTTTTACCCCCTAAGGTATCCTGGCATCTCCTGGCATAACCTGTTATTAAAATTTATATTCAAAGCATTCTTCCTCTCAAGTAGCATTTGCATTCTAAAAGAGGTTAGAATAAAAATTCTCTATATTTCAGCATCTATAGAACATGGGAGAGAAAAATATTTGGGAAAAGGAGCAAGCCTTCATTCTATACCATGCTGCAGACATTTCTTTTTATGCTTGTAATTCAAACTTTGAATGCAATTTATAATTAACAATTAATATCACTTTACTATCATAAGTGAGTAATAACATGTTATTTTATATTAATCAAAGTCTTATTTTTACAAAGTATTTTTACAGGCTAGATCTTGGCAAAATCTTACTATAGTTGTTGGTGTTGTTTTTGTGATTACCCATTTCAGAACTGAGGCAACTGGGGTTCACTGGAGACTTATATGTCTTGCTTCAGCTGATACAGCTAATAAATGAGTTGAATTTGCATCAAAACATTTGCATCAAACATTCTTTCTGTCTCTCAGTTGATGGTATCGCATACTTCTCTGTTCCTAGTTCCCCTATAAGGTTCTGACCTACAGTTGCAAGGTCCCATACAGAGAGAAAAAATTCTGTGTGTGGGGGTGGGGTGGGGAAGTTTTCCAGAAATTTATGTGAAATCTTTGTATTTCAGATGTTTCAGGTGCAGGGGAGTTCAAACATCACTAACTTGAGACATAGCTCAAGAAGTACTCTTGGGAATTATGCAAATTGGAGCTGAGCAGAAGAGAGTTAGTCCCCCCAAATTAATCACATTCAACCCAAGTTGAAAACGGATCCTAATGAAACAGATCTTGTGCCCTTCTACCTCTACCCCATCCACTTGCTGCCCTCTAGCTCTCAGACCATCGAAGGGACACTGCCATCATGACTTTAAATACTCATTTCTCCAGTTTGGCAGAAGGGCAAATGGTGTTAAATCAACCAAGTAATTTGCATTAGAAGAGAAATAGGAAGATTTTACCCCATACAATGAATTTCATATTATGAACATGAAAGTAAAAGACAGTCACATATTCTAAATATACATAGAGCTACTCTTCTAGAATTGTTCTTTCAAAATCTTATTGTTTGGTTTTGTTCTGCTGGGTTTTATTTTTATGATCATATGCTGCACAGAACATCTGTGAACAATAGTGATTTAAAATGTAAAGATTAGTATCTTTACTGAGATGTTTTAACAAAATGGGTTAATGACCAGTCTCTGTATCATAGTAATAATGAGCTCCATTTCAGAAACAGCCTTATTCAAGAGTAGGATAGTCACCTGGGACATTTGTACCTCAACCCTTCACCTGTAAATGAGGGTAAAAATCCTTGACTTTGGGAAGAATTAAATGAAATAACATATGTACATTGTTTTCCTCAGTTGTCCCCACCCTCATCTCTCTCTCTCTCTCTCTCTCTCTCTCTCTCTCTCTCTCTCTCTCTCTCTCTCTCTCTCTCTCCCTCCCCCACCCTCCTTTGTGAAGTCTCAGCTATGTTGCCCAGGCCAGTCTTGAACTCATAGGCTCAAATGATCCTTCAGCCTTGACCTACAAGAGTGTGCCACCCCACCCAACTTGATTCTCATTATTCACAGCAGTTATGTTCTATAAAATTCAACTGAATTAGTGCATACTGAACAATTCACTGGTACTAGAAGAAAATACAGAATTAGGTTCCTATTAGCCTCTGGTCATCGAATTTTCTTTCAACTGATCAATAGGTTACCTTGACCATTTCTACTTAAAGTGTATATTGTTGATTTATTAACTTTGAACTCATTGCCAACAGCACCATAACCCACACCTGCACAAGCCTTCTTGCACTTGGGACACTAGACAGTACTTGCACTCTTTTTGTGGAAGGCCACTTCATCATGAAATCACATGCACACAAGAACACACAAGTGCAAAATATGTGGTGCTACTTAAGCTATGAAAGAAACACTTGCTTAAAGTGTGAAAGCTGAATAAAGAATTAATGCAATGTTTTATTCAACTTCAGCTGGGAACATGAGAGTCAGGTGACTCCGATATTTTACCACTCTGCACATAGCTGCAAATGACTGAAATAATGCATTAAATATTGATTTGAGGATTAATAATATAATTTAGCTAAGCATGTGAATTTGTGAAGATGAAATCCTGGAATAAGGAGCAACTGTACAGTGTTATAGTTAAGAGCCTGGCATTAACAGATCAGCTTCATACCTTGCAACACGCCTCATCTTGGGCAAGTGATTTGTCTTTTTGTTTGTTTGTTCGTTGAATCTCAGTTTTATCACCTGTGAAATAAAAGTAACAATAGCTATAATTTCTTTGATTTGTAGTGTTAAATGTGAAACTTCATTAAAGTGCTTACCTGGTAATATTAAATGATCAAACATATAAGTTACCAATGTGATGAGGACTAAAAAAATAGTTAAAAAGTCACCTGTAATCATAAATAGAATTTTTTATTAACACCTCTCAAAATGCCTTTCTAAGAGGAAGGATTATTTGACAAAATAATTTACCATTTTTTTTCTTATTTCTTGCGTAGAGGGAAGAACAAATTTTAATGAAATATATAGTGTTATATTCTAATATAAAATGACTTTGACAGAGTATTATAAATCAATAGCCTCATTTTTTATAGTCTTAACTAAAGTATGCTGGTGCTAAATTTTAAATGAGGCCTTGTGCTAGAATTTCAATTAATACAAATGGAATAGAAAGTTGAACTATTAGTACTGATTTTATTTGCTTTGATTAAACCAGGAAAAATGAGCTCATGTCTCTAAGGGTCTGATCTCAATGCTGAAAGGTAAGTTCACAGAAACATAGTCACATGAACACAAATTTCATTTCTTTTTTATATACCCTAAATAGTTTATATTTTAAATAAATCTTAGCTTTTGCCAGAAATCCTAATAAGCCATCCAACTGTATAACATATGTGATGCCCTCCAAAAAGAGAGAAAACCCACCACGTTATTAGCAACAAACCCAAGAATTCCTGCTCGAAAACAGAGCCTCCTTAATTCATTGAGATCTCTGAATAATGTCTTGCTTTATTTCAATTAGGTATATTCACCATTCGAAAATCTACCAGAGAGTGCAAAACACAATAATGAATGATGAAATGTTATTAAACCAGAAAGAAAATGAGGGGGAGGCTTTTTTCTCATGTTCTACATTGTGATTATAGACTGCTAGGTAGAGGTGAAATGAGACTTTTCAGGTTGAATATAGTTCAATTAAAAATATTACCAAAATGAGTTAGGTAACAATATATTCAATAGCTGTTCATAACATAACAATATGCTCAATAGTTTATAAACATTTCTGGCTGAGAATCTTAAAAAACAAAACAGCCAATCAGAACTAAAGAAAGATTTCCCCCAGGGGAATACCTAAAATTTACACATTTTTTTTAACTAAGTCAGTATATTTAAGAATGTACTAGAGGTAAATGAACTTCATTTATCTCTTTTCTAAAAGGGTGAAGAACATTCACTTTTAAATTGTATACAACTGATTTTTTTAACCAAGCTTTTGAAAATTATAAATAATAATTTAAGTAATCTTGAGGGAAGTCAACAAATATATTTATATTTATTTAGATTTAGATTTATATAGATTTTTATTTATACAGATCTTTGGAGTTTCATTCCCCTTTTATAGACATTGACTGAAATGGTTTTGCCAGAAAGTGCTACTTAGAAAAAATAAACTTATAATGTTATTTAGCCTTTTTAGACTGATAAGTACTTTGTGAATTTTTAGTAAACTGATACTTATATACTACAAAGACCAGTGCAAAGTTTGCACAATTCATTGATATCAATAAGCAGGTTAAAGGGTGAATGAACTGCAAGGCAAATCAACTATAAGAGTAATAAATAAGACATCTTTCTCTTCTGTGATGTTTGATGGGTACTATTTGGAGAAATGATTATCTTCTTCCATAAGCCTATAGCCTAAAGCAAAGGAATATCATCATTCAGGTCAACAAGTGTCCTATATTACCACAACCTCTATTCCTGCATATTTCACAGTTCATTATGCTCCATAAACATATCATGGGGATTCATCTCAATCACATTACAAAAACATTCAAAGACTGGAAGTGATTTACGTTTCAGAGATCCATCAGTCACATCACTTGACTTTAATAGAAATATACGATTATGGCTGATAACGCCATCTAACACACCATGATCCAGAGTTTCAATCTGACACCCTTTGGTGCTTATCTTTGGCATCGTCCAGAAGCTGCATCTGATGCCAAGCTTGATCATGCAGAGAATGTAGATTTAAAGAGCCATTTTCATTTATAACAAACAGACCCAGCTGGGAACACAGCTGTTAGATGGGAAAGAAAAGCAAAATTTCCTGCTACCTGGGAAGGCCTAATTATAAAACCACCCAGACAAGCTTTTAAATTCCATAAGTGAACTAGCCTAACATCAATGTGGATGTACCTTAAAGAGAGAAAAATGGCAAAATCATCTGAATCACATATGACAGAAGAAACAAGTATCCCACAAATTCCTGAAACCTATAGGTCTTAATTGAAGTTGCTTTTGATTTTCATATAGTTCCCTGGTTTCTTTATATGCAGACTTAAAATCTATAACCCAGACAAAGAAATGTGAATTACAGTAATTTTTGTACTTTTGTACCAATATTTTTCATTAAAGGAAAATAAGAAAAGAAAGTAAATATATGAAAACAAGTCCAAAATTTTGAATATAACAACAAATGTTCTTGTAATAGTGAATTTACTTGTAAAGTCGCTGAAGCATTTCTCAATATTTTAGCAGGTTATGACCTACAATTTCATTTTTATTATGGTATGTTATTCATGGTTGTCCTTTAAAAGTAATTTTGAACTTGAACTTGTAAAATGAAATGATCTCTGATCTACATGATTTTACTCTATATCTTAGCTGCCCGATATCTTTTCATTGTGCACTAATCCTGGAACTTACAGTCTGTGGAGGGTCTAAAGTAAGCAAGAACTGCATAGTATTTTATTCCCCCCCCCCCCAGCCATGTAAGGTCTTTTTAAAATAGTTTTATTAAAACTCTGAAACGCATCTACTATTCATAAAAGAGATGGACATTTTAAGTATTTTTTCCAGATTCTAAAGGGTTCAACCCCTTGGTTTCTGAGTATAGTACCAGTACATCATGTGACAGATATTTCACAGACATTAATTAATTTTGACTTTGGAATCTTTTCATCTTATATTTATCCCATTCTAGGTCATCAGTAAAGATTCAGCTAACCTATAACTAAGCCCTTTCAGCAACTGTGATGACTAAATTAAAAAAAAAAAATCATTTTTCAAGTAAGGTAGTTGGTAGGCTCTACAATTAAATATACATATTAAATTTGCTATTAGATTATTCCTCTGAAGTTATTTGTTCTTGGGTTTTCTATAGTAGGTTTTGATACCTTTTTAAGATGAAGAGTCCCTAAACTAGGTGTTAATTGTAGAATTTTATGGTGAAAAATAGACTTCATGTGTTAGTCAATTAAGTAGCATATTGTCCAAAATAGTGGAAGAACACTCATGGATAAGTCTCACAATGGCATCCACAGATTTTACACAACGTACTAAAAGATCACAGAATACTAAGTCACCACCAGCAATGAAAAGTTTAAGAACCAACCATTGTTAGGAGTAACATCAATAAATATGGTGGAGTAAGACATTTCAAAAGTTGTCTCTCCATAAAACCAATGAAATAACTGGCAAGAAATTATCACAATCAACTTTTTCAGAACTCCGGAAATTATTCAAAGGCTTGCAACAGAGACTGCAGAACATTTAAGGAAGAATAGCAGCGGAGTCTTGGAAAAACAGTGAGCTTTGTGTCATTTTCACATAACCCTAATGCTATCCCCTTCCCTTACTCAACAGCATTGAGCAACCTTAAAAACAACAGCCAGCATTCCTAGTACCAGATGGAGCAGAACTGAAATGATACACTTTCAAGTCTCATTCCCAAAAAGGAGTCATTATTTCCCCCACCTGGTGCTTCCCTGGAAGACTTCACTGAAAAAGTCGTGTCTTCATTTGACCTCAGTTGAACTTATCCTGTGCTAATTTTTTAAACATCAATGCTGCCTGACACAACAAATAACAGTTGGAAGACTAGTCAAAACATTTTTTTAAATTTTTTTAGTTGTAGTTAGACATAATCTTTATTTATTTTTATGTGCTGCTGAGGATTGAACCCAGTGCCTCACACGTGCAAGGCAGGTGCTCTACCACTGAACTGCAGCCCCAGCCCCTAATCAAATCATTTAAAAGGAAAAGTTTCAAAATGAGAGGTTCACGAGGCTTTAAAATGTTTCAGTATGTTCCTGGGAATCTGGAAGACTGATTTTCATATATGGGGTATGCATGTTCAGAAAAGACCCAGAAAAGTCCTTAAACTTTCACCTCTGATTAGCTTTGTGGCTCTACAAGCAGGAGATGCAGACTAAGGGATTGACTGATGGGAGGGTAGAAGCCTGACAGAAACAAACATGCAGAGCAACTAGGAAAAACAATGGCAGATGTGTTAGTTACAGATATTCAAAGACATCTCTGTCCCATCATTAGCTGACTCCAGATCTAATCATCTACTAACCCTACAAAACTTTGTAGAGACTTCAGTGGCAGCACACCACCAGATAGCGAATTCACAGAAATGGTTCATGAAGGTCACTAAAAAACAACCAAAATAAGCAGAAGCAACAACCACAACAAAAATCCTGGAGAGAGGGTGAATCTTATTATTTAAGATGCCAAATTATATTATTTGAAATGTTCAGATTTCAACAAAAATTTACAAAACATACAATAAAATTAGCCTCACCCATAATATGTAGTACAAGACAAAACAATTGTAGAAACTACATCTGATGAACTCCAGATCTTGAGGATTATTAAACAAACATTTAAAAATAGCTATTTTAAATAGTTCAAAGCTCTAAAGTAAATGATGTTGGAAAAACTAAATCAAAATATTACAATAATATCTAAAAAAAGAATTAATAAGAGATAAAAATTATAAAAAAGGAATCAAATATAATTTCTAGAATTGAAAAGTATAACAAATAGAAAAATTAACTTATAGGAAATGAACAGCAGATTTTACTAAGCAGAAAAAAAATATCAGCAAACTGTATAGGCCAAATGATATCACATACTCTGAGGAATGGAAGGATTAAAACAATGAATAAAAATATACTGAACTTCAAAGAATTACAGGACACTAAAATCATATGCACCAAGATACAGGT